CCCCCCCCCCCCCCCCCCCCCCCCCCCCCCCCACAACACACACACACACACAGGTCTTGAATTTTGTGTTAAATGGCAACATACTGGTGGGCAATGCCGTGATGGACTAGCATTCCATCCAGGGAGGGGCGGTAGGGTGGTGGGTGGAGTGGTAATATTCACTCTATGGTGCTTCATGGTGCTTCTAACCAAGATAAGCTCTCACTATGCAGGCCTTCTGGCTTCTTTTAAGTACCTCTCCCATCCATGGGGGGAGGGGGTGGAGTTGTAATATTCACTCCATGGTGCTTCATGCTTTCCCTTATTAATCAAGATACTGTAAGCTGTTGCTATGCGGACCCTCTGGCTTATTTTAAGTACAGTGTACCTCTTTTGGAATGTTGAGTTACTGATCCACTAAGCTTGCTGATCCCTCCAGTCTCAAGAAATTAAGTGGATAATTAATATGTCAATGATCCTCACCTCTCGGTGTGGTACTGAGTCGAGGCAGTTGCTAAAAAGTAAGTACAGTTTCTCATCTCAGCCAAATTTACCCAAAAGACAATGCTTTAGTCTCCTAACACGTAGTGACAGTTTGTGTGAACTTAGTGATGCGTTTTTTAAGGAAACCCATTAGTAAATTTATGATACTCTTCTTTTAGGATATGATGTCCTTTCCTAGCACAGCCTCTACATCACAGGATGACCATGAAAGCAATTTAGGATCCACTTCTTCCAGGAAATTGAACGTTACTCTGTTAAGCAGTGAATGGAGATCAACAAAAGGAGGCTTGTCAACCATCAACCGAGAGCTGGCCATTCAGTTGGCAAAACACCCCAGTGTGGAGGTCAGTGTTTATCTCCCTCAGTGCAGCGAAGAGGATAAACAAGTTGCCAAAGATCACAATGTCCGCCTCATTAAAGCAAGAGAAATGCCAGGTTTAGAACCAAATTTCTGGTTATCTTGTCTGCCAGAAGACCATGTTATGGACTGTGTTATAGGACACGGGGCTGTTCTTGGTAGGCAAGTGCAGATCATCAAGCGAACTCATCCTTACTGTCAATGGATTCAGGTCGTTCATACCACTCCTGAAGAACTTGGAATGTACAAAGGATATGAAGAACGCATTTCCAAAGGTGAGAAGAAGCACCAAGTGGAGATTGAACTCTGTAAATTGGCTGATCAAGTTGTAGCAGTTGGACCTAAGCTGGCTGAAGCTTTCTCAGGTTATCTCCGTCCATTTGGAAAGGATCAAGATGTTCTCAATCTTACCCCAGGCATCTTCTCAGAATTTTCTAATGTAAAGCAAGCCACTGAAGAAAGAAAAACATTTAGTGTTTTAATGTTCGGACGTGGTGACAATGAAGATTTTCAGCTAAAAGGATATGACATTGCTGCCCAAGCCATTGCTGAGTTGAAAGAGGTGACCTACAAACTTGTTTTTGTTGGAGCATCAAGCGGAGAAGAAGAAAAAGTAGCAGACTTGTTACTCCAGCAAGGCATTGACTGCAGTCAACTAACTGTGCGTTGTTTTAATGAAAACAGAGAGCAGCTAGCTCGGTTGTTTTGTGAAGTAGATCTTGCTATAATGCCATCCCGAACTGAGGGATTCGGTCTAGCTGCCCTTGAGGCTTTATCTGCTGGTCTGCCTGTACTGGTCAGTGGGAACTCTGGTCTTGGCGAGGCCTTAAAGGAAGTTCCGAATGGTTCAAATTGTGTGGTAAAATCAAAAGATCCTAAAGATTGGGCCAATGCAATCAAAGCTGTTCGGAAGAAAAAAAGGAAGCTGCGATTGAGAGAGGCCAAGCTTCTTCAAGGAGAGTATGAAGAGATGTACAGCTGGCAGGATCACTGTAATAGACTTGTGGAACGAATGCTTGCCATTTCTCAAGGTAACAGGCTCACATTGTTAATATTTAAAGTGGCATGTATATTGTGCATTGCTGGCATTAGGAAGTGTAGGTTCACGCAGTTACAATGACAACAGTAGTGAGAAGCTGACCTCAACAAATTTTTTCATCTCTTTTAATAACAGCACCAGAGAAGGCCGTCTACACTTGACAAATAATTGAGAGAGTTGTAAAATTTTGCGATACCTTTTAAAGAACGTGTACATTTACTTTTTTCGTGGCATCTTATTGAATATTCCCAACCCTGAGGTTCAGAAGTAAAATTAATATTGTATTGCTACTCATTTTGTAGGTCCCACTGCAGATGAGCAGAATTTATCTAAGAAAGCCACTGTGATCCGTCAAGATGAAAAACCCTCTTCTTCTGAAAAACATCTTCATAAAGGTACACTTGAATCTTTGAAACATGAACAATATGTCCACAAGAGCAGTTCATTGTTTTCTTTGTATTAAGGTCTGGGAGATGTACGTTAGTCTAATTTGGGCATAATAATTATTGCTTGCGGGGATGCTAAATAACCAAAGAATGGTTGAAGCATCGAACAAGACTCGTTTAAAACTGACTTACAAGGAAAAAACGTTTTCACACTAGTTACAGGTTAACAATGTAAGAAGCCGACAAATATTACTAGTGTCAGGTTTACTTTTCTCGTGCTAAATACAGTGTGGCGTATTGGAGCACAGCAAAAGGAAGTTGCCTTTTAAGACTTTTAACATATACACTGAAGGGTTGGTCATTTTGTTTGGGTTATTCTAAGTGAAATTGTCACCTTGGGACTTTGACATGCTGGCCATTGCCTCGGTGTATAGATCAACTAACAATTGATCGGCCCAGTAAGGTAATCAGGATTCCAGAATCCAGGAAACTTTTGCTGGTGGAATCTGAAATCCAGGAAACTTTTTCTTTTGGAATCCGGAATCCTAGGCTTTGGAATCCGCAATCCAACTCAAGGAATCTGGAATCTCGCTAATGATTGTAATCCAAAAGCCAAATTCCGCTGACAAGGAATCCGGAGTCCAGTACCTGAAATCCAGAATCTAAGACTGTTTTGGCGGCGAAATTGACCTGCTCTTTGTTTTTGTTTGATTACCGTAAATTCTCGATTAAGACCCCTACCTCTAGTAAGAACCCCTTCTTTTCAGGGGAGGAAAGTTAATAAGCCTTCTCCCTCCCCTCCCCTAATTATTTCTCACTAATAAACGATAGACTCTATTAATCAATTACCATTGTAAAACTTAAAAACGGACAAAAATAGTTGGATAATCACTGGTCTGGTTAAATTTCAGGCTCAAGAAAGGGGAAAAGGCCTTTGTCTCCAAGTAGCACTCCAGCATCAAAAGTCGCAAAATATTTGGGAGATGAAGGTAAACTTTATTTATGCATAATAAAGTTTATAACTGTCTCAGTTCTGAAAGCAGCATAGGAAGTAGAAAAATCTTCATGGTCGAACTTGTGTTCTTAACATTTTTTGTGCCCCCTGCCACACCCCTTCCCCCTCCTGCTTTAGAGATGGCTACTCAAGATTCTGGAGTCACTCTCATTCGTTCAGTAGCAAAACTTAAACTTCTCAAGTTTGAGGCACGCTCTGTCTATTTCGAGCGTGCTACATATTTCGCAAAGTAGAACCTGGTAAGTACAGAATTTTTTGTTCGCATTTTGGGGCATTTTGTCAAAGTGTATCAAGTCCTGTTCTTGTCAATTCCTTGCGAGATGGTTTATCGGCGGAAAGGTTAAGTGCCTAATGATTTATTTGTGCGAAGGTAGTGTGGAGAAACACAATGATGCATTTCTGGTTTGATTATTTGTTTTTCAACTGATTTTACGTCATAAATAGCCCTCAGGAATTCAGAAGCTGAGGTATATTAACTCTTTCACCCCTAGGCCAAGTTATGGCGAGATAATTTGTCATTCTAAGTTTTGCATCTGTGAACGAAACCCTATGGTGTACCATGGTGAATCCTCTTTGGCAGAACTTTTACTTAGTGCTATTTATTACTTGGGATTTCACCAAAAAGAAATCTGGAATCTTTGTGAGTTTTCCATTTTCCACTCTTACTAGTGGAGTGGTAAATGTAGGAGTGGCCGAAAATTAATTCCTCATAAAAAAATAATGCGGTCAGTTTCTCAGTAGTGCTGCGTGCGGGAGTGAAATACACAAAAACTGGTTTTATCAACCTGACTTAGTCGACACAGGTAAATTGGCCACCTTGAAGAGGTTTTAAAGCATACGTTGGAGAGCTAACGCCTCATTAGTTGTTTTCGTTATTCAGCATTTAATAAAATGCAGGCGAACCTTTATGTGCGACCACCTATCCAACACACCAAACGTTACCCAGTGGAAGCTTTACAGTTTGAACCTCTCGTAAACATCAATCTCCTGTAAGCGACCGCGACCACTTTTGGGGGATTACGGTTTTATAGGTTTTTATTGTTTTTTATCTCTCGTAACCACTTGATTCGTGGTTTGATCTCTATGCTAGCTGCGTATACTATTCCACTCAGTGACAACATAAAACTACACATATCATAACTTAGAAATTGCATGCAAAACATTATCTTCTATAAAGTAGATGAGCCCGGATCTCTGGTCGGAAGAGAACCCCTGTTGTTCGATTCTTGTAAGTGATCACGTCCCGTAAGCGACCTTTAACACTTAACATTTTGGGCAGTAGCTTATGGGAAGTTTGACTGTTTTTGATTTGCGTAGAACTGACATAAACATTGACGTCGGCGAAGACTTTAAAGTAGCGTGTTCTTTTAACTCCCTGTAAGTACTCAATGTAAAGAGAGTTTACAGTTACTGTATGGAACAAAGGGAGGACAACATTTTACAAATACCCCGTTTGTAGCGTCAAATGCTCTTGTTTGTGGTTACTGACAGATATTTCCAATCTCCTTGTTTCCAACAGGTAGAGACAGCTTGATTCTTGTGAAATTGTTAAAAAAGGAATACAAAAGACGCTCGCGGCTAAGACCACTTCTTTGGAATAGAAACTTCAAATTGCCCATAGAACAAGTCTACACAAGACTGAAAATCGTTGCAAGAGGAAAATTGGCCATCCAGATGGAAGACGAGGAGGAGGAAAGCGACGAGGTGGAAAACGACGAGGTGGAAAACGACGAGGTGAATGTGTTTGACATCTTCAAAGTTCCTGATATAGGTGAGGATGTTATGACGATAGTAGAGGGAAGTCCGGGAATCGGTAAAACTACATTTTGCCTTAAACTTGCTTATGACTGGGCTCATGGAAATATCCCATCGGAGTGCTCCTTTCCCAAATTTGAATTTGTGTTTCTTCTCAAATGTCGTGACATTGATGGGGATATAATGAAAGCTATCAGTCAACAACTGTTGCCCAGGGATATGGATATGGAGAAGTCTGTGGAGAAACTGTTGCACTTCATGAAGGACATTCATAAACAGGAGAGACTGATGTTAATCATTTTGGATGGATTGGATGAGCTACCTGAACAATCGCGGCACCATGTAGATGAGCTGCTTCATAGAAGAATTTTACCGTTTTGCTTTGTCTTGGCTACCACACGACAAGAAAGAGGAATCGAAGTACGGAAAAGCGTTGTTTTTGACATTCACTTAGAAATCAAAGGGTACACGGAAAATGATTCTATTACTTACATCAGAAGACACTTTGAAACCATTGGCCAGTCAGCAAAGGGGGAGAGGCTCATTGAGGAAATGGAACAGAACACCTTTTTACATGCACTTCGAAGTAACCCGTTAAACTTACTTCTCCTTTGTGTTGTTTATGAGGACTACAAGGGAAAATTGCCGACTTCCCGGACGGAACTTTACCAAGTCATTGTGCGATGTCTTTTAAGACGTTACTGCGGCAAACGCAACTGGCCGGCCCCTAAAGATGACATTGTCCTAGAGAAAACGTTTGAAAAGGAAATTCTTGCACTCGGAGAGCTAGCTTGGTTATGCCTGCTAAGTGATCGTTATGGTTTCTTCGAAACTGAATTAGATGAGTTTGAAAGGAAATACCCCAGACTGAAAGCTCGTGAGCTAGACCTTCTTTACATGGAAGAAAGTCTAAAGAGACTAAATCCTCAACATGAGTATTGCTTCCTTCACAAGACCTTCCAAGAGTACGTGGCTGCCGCGTATATTGCACAGAAGCTACGAAACCAAAAGTTTAATGTATTTAAGCACCTCAACCTAAGCTTTGATGACATTGTAACGAAATATCCACAAGTGTTTATTTTTGTTTCTGGTATGCTGGGCGAGAAAGCTACAGTTCTTTTCACCCAGATTGGAGAGGAGTTGAAGAAGACATATGACTGGAATTGGAACGAGCATTGCAGTAAGGAGAGAGCTACTTTCTTTATTGAAAGCTTTAATGAGAGTGGACATGCAGAGCAAATGGCAGTTACTCTTTGTAACATTGTACCTTTTCCAAAGGTCATCACTTCCAAGCTAATAGACAATTACAATGCGTCTTTTATTCAGGTTTTAATGGCTTGCAGAAGCTTTTCAAATTTAAGGACACCTGTTGAACTCTATGCTGATGTACATGAAGGTGACTGGGAGAGAAGAGGCCGGGAGAGAGGAGCAAGTGACGTAGTAAATTGTATGGAATCCGACCTGCAGCTGACAAACTTTTCAAATTTAAGGACACCTTTTAGAATCTATACTGATATACTTGTAGGTGACCGGGAGAGAAGAGGCCGGGAGAGAGGAGCAAGTGACGTAGTTAATTTTATAGAATCCTGCCCGCAGCTGACAATCGTAAGTTTTCGTGTTCATGGTCTGGGATCTTTGACGTCATCTGATGCAGATCGTCTTTGCAAATGGTTTTCTGCAAGCAAGAGCTTATCAGAGTTTACTCTTAAATATAGATCTCATGTATTTCTTGAAAAATATGAGCTGCTGGTTCAAATTGGCTGTGGGTTGGCTTCATGTCGAACTCTGACAAAAGTAACGTTTGCTTTGCCTGGATATGCTTATAACGAGAGTGTTTTCAATGCGTTCGAAACTGGATTGACAACGCTGACGTCTGTTCATCTCGTGCTATGGGGCTCAATGAAGTGCACTGCGACACGAGCCTTACAACATTTTTTGTCAAATAAATCCTTGAATTCCCTTTCTCTTTGTATTGTTGGATGTGTGCTGGATTTGTTAGTCGCTGCTGTCAGTCAAGCACTTGCAAGACAAACAGTTTTAAAATCTCTTGATCTACATCTTGATGGACTGCTGAGTTCCTCTAGTGCCAGTTTCCTGGAAAAAGGGCTTATGGAAAATAGTTCTTTAAATTATTTAAGACTTCGTGTCCACGGTGAGCTCCCTAGTAACTGGCATTCTGTTGTGGAAAATCTTCGCTTGGCGAAAAAGTCTTCAGTTTGCTGTTCTTTTTATCCAAATACCTTTAACAACGTAGCAAATAATTATTTTCATCCTGTTCTGGTCAGGAAAGGGTTAAATGTAAAGCAACACTTAACTGTTAACGTCTGGGGTGAGATGAAATGCGAAGCGGCAGAAGCTCTTTGTGAAGTCTTGGCACCTTCCTCCATTACTGTCCTCACCTTAAACGTGTGTGGAAATTTGACAAGCGAAGTTTCTAGTTCCATTGCAAGATGTCTGGAAGAAAACAAGACACTATCTTCCCTGTCCATCAATATATGGGGCGAGTTGACAACAGGCGGAGCTAATGTTCCTTCCAGCCTATCAAAAAACAGTCGCGTTCAGTTAAATGTACATGATGTGCGTATAGGCCCAGATGAGTCGAACGATATTCTTGTTACCACTACCGATAATCCTGCGGCATTGACAGTCTTTTTTAAGGAGAGAAGAAAACAAAACGTCCGTCTTACAATCAATAACGATAGTAACGTTACCAAGGAGTGGACATGTTGTCTAGGTGATGCTTTGACAGAAAATCCATCTCTAACCACGCTTGATCTTACAGTCAACAGCTGCGTCGTGGATGCAGATTTGGGAGAAAACCTCGGGAATAGTTTATTACAAAGCAGTTCTTTAACATCTCTTAGTCTCACATTCAACTTCAGTAACATGAAAGAAGGATGGGAATCCAAACTGGGTGAGCACTTGATCAAAATGGCATCTTTAACTACACTCAGTCTTGAAATAAACGGCGATGGCGAGTGGAATCAGAAGGATAGTTTGAGTCCTACACTCAGCAGCCTTGACTATGTTGAGGAGAATCAGGAGAATTGTTTGAGTCCGACTAAACTGAGTAACGTGCTAGCGGCAATCAAATCATTATCTTCCCTTTCTGTTGCAATCCATAGTGAGAGCATGTGTTCATTTTGGGATAAGGTTGTAGGTGACTGTTTGATAAAATGCACGTCACTTAAAAAACTTAGTCTCACACTTAAAAAACTTAGTCTCACATTGAACGGGGGTGAATCAAACTTTTATTGGGTTTTTAATGGCCTTTATATGGGCCTGGTGACAACAAGCTCATTAAATACATTATGTGTTGCAATTTTTATTAACAACCACACTGATAGGTATTTTTCCAGGTTTTTGTCTGGTCTTAATCAGGGTCTGTCATTAAACTCGTCAGTAACTACACTGACACTAACAGTAACTGTGGCAGCAGATGCAACAGATGATATTATTCGGCTGACCAGTTTCGATCACGGACTGTCAGTGAACACGTCAATAACTACGTTAAATATCACAATAAATGAGTGTGGTGATGGAGAATCGTTTATACCCCAGTTTCTTGGCTCCTTTGGAGTGTTGGAAGGCTTGGCAAATAACACATCAGTTACCACATTCAATCTGACACTCAACAGTAGCAAAGAAGTGAGTGATGACTGGTTAACAGTCCTTTCCGTCATCTTGAGGGCAAACACCTCATTAACTACTCTG